AACAGTCTCCAGTCACTTTCAATAAACTCTTCACTGTATCCACTCAACTAGCTAACAGTGTCCAACTATATTATATTACTTGTCAACCTCAAGTGCTCAACTAAGATAAAAAGCAAAGTGCTTGGAGCACTAACTGGGGAGAAAGGAAAGGCCATCAGACACTTCCACAGCCACAGAGGTGGTGGCTGAGTTGCTAGATTCCTGAGCACCATTACATTCACCTGAAGGTTCAGAGGTGTTTCAGGAGACGAGGACTAAGGATCTGAGGACTAGAAGATGAAATAAGTAAAAGGAGGAGGAGAAAGTGGGCTGGGAAGCAGAGGCAGGAGACAGATGGAGAGGGAAAAACTGTGCCTAGAGGAAATAAAGTCTGGAACTTGTCAAGAGTTCAGGAAGTGAAAAGCAGCAGCCACTGGTCAGGGAGATGGACTAATGAAGAGAAAACCTGGGACTTTACACCTTCCAGGAGGTAGCACTAAATCCTACAGTGGCAGGCACTGAGTTATCGCTAAGATTAAGCCACCTGTTTTTCAGAATTGGCACCCCTTTTGACAGATTCCAATTGACACTGAGAATTTAAGAGTGTATGTTATAGGAGTGCAGCCACCCCAGCAGACTGAACATCTACAAACAATAAAGAAGGGCTACAAACTAATTAAGTCTAGAAACCAAACCAAATAAACAAACAAGAAATGTTACCATCCAGTGAAGAGATTACCTTATTTCCCAGTTTAGTCATTTCCTAAAGGGCAACCATTCTGACCATTAACACCTACTGCCAATACTGTGCAATCAAACGGGGTGACCATGATCAAAGCCCCATTTTGCCCCCTGAGCCTTTAGTGCCTCTGTGACATGGAACACAGCAGGCAACATGGAAGTTGCCTTTTTTGGAGGGGCAGGGAAATGGGATAAAAAAAACCAAAAACTAGCTAGCCACATACTTAAGTAAACAAATGATATCATACTATTTAGTCATTCAAAATCCCTTATACTAAAAAGTCACAAACTCCAGACTGATTCAGCAAAACAGGTTTCTGTTACTCAGATGCTCTGAGTATGGGAAGAGCTGGTTTTGATCATTCTGCTCAGTTTTTACTTTGATCTCAGGCACCTGTGCCTGCAGAAGGCTCTGCCTCGCAGGGAAAGGCCTCACATGGAAACATCTCAGGGTGGTCACGTCCATGGTGCCACAGTCTGCCCACTCTCTCCACTCAGTTGTCTACTTCCTCCTCCTCATTCTGCTCTTCCTCATCCAGTCTTTCCTCGTCTTCATCCTCTTCCTCCCTGCTCTTGTCCTGCTCTTCGGAATCCGTTTTTTTGTCTCTGTCCTTCTTCTTTTGCTCCGAAGCTTCCTTCTTGCCTTTCTGCTCCCGCCTGTACGCTGTAAGGAAGCAGGAGAACAATGTTTAATCAGACAAACCGAGGCACAGGAGGAATAGCCAGGCCTGCGTCACACGTCCGAAATGTTACCAACTAAACAGAGTGGAATTGTGACCAGTACTGGATTCCTGAAACCAGGAGGTCAGGGAACGGAGGATGCCACCTTTCATATGGCTTAAGAAACAGAAGAGGGGATGGATACCTTCTAGGGCTTCTTTCAACGGTACAACGAACCGCTGGAACTCCATCTCTTCCATGGCTGACAGCACATCACTGGCATTGAGAGTCTTGCGCTTGCCCTTCATGGCGAAGTTGTTCGCACTGGGAGAAAAAGCAAAGCCCTTCAGAAGCTGTCAGAGTGGGTGGGGACACGAGACACCACGAGGTGGGGGTGGGGAAAAAAGCCCACACGTATCTTAGATGCATGGGTTTTTGCGACACGCCTCAGTTCGTTCCTTCCCCGTTACAAAGGGCTACGGCAACCTTCTTGTTTAACCTGCTTCAGAATTTACGGGAACTGGAGGAGAGCTGTGAGTCGCTCTCTCTACCGAGGCAGGGAACAATTACGGGGGCCACGAACTCGGGGTCGGGATCCCGCAGGGCCTCCCTTCCGCCTCTGCTCGGCTCACCAGGATGTGGCATAGAGAACGAAGACGCTGGCGGCGCGGGAGATGGCGCTCCGGGCCTCCTTGGAGATGTTGACGCCGTCCGGGAGCTGCGAGAGTGGATAGGACACACACGCGGATCTCGTTAGCCTTCTGCCCACTCGTCCGCCCCCGACCCGTTCGCCAGCCCGAGCAGCTCACCGCTTCCTTGATGATCCTAGTAATGACGGCGTTGGGCAGATTTAGGTCCTCGGGCCTCTCCGCCATGGCCTCCGCCGGAGCCCGAGCCTCCTCCGCCTCAGGCCTTCTCTTCAGACAGTTCTGGCGTCTGGACTTCCCGCGTCGCTAAGATCTGACCCTCGGAGGCTTCCGTCCCACCCCACGTTGCCAGTGTCCCACAGTGCTTTGCGCAGCACCGCCTCCCTTCTACACCCGCCCCGCCTCAAGTCGCCGGCGTAGCCAAGCTTTCCATGTCGCAGTGGTTTCGGCTCACTGAGATTTCCGTTAGCTTCCATCGTATCCTTGACGTTCCTCTCCAGGCTCGTTTCTTTGCCACACACCGTCATTATCACTGGAACTTCCGTACCAAACTAATTTTGGCTCTCTGAGGTTTCCGTCTAGTCTCCCATCGTGCTCTGCGCCGCTGCTAGGCAACGGGACAGCATGGTGCCTAGCGTGGAAGGGGCAGGCGTAGACTGAGCCGGTGGGGCGGGACTCCGATGGACGAGCTGGGCGGGGTCTTCTGGGAGAGGTGGACGGGGGCCAAGGCCTCGGAGCGTTTTCGCCATCTCAGCGTTGTCCCTAGTGGCGCAGAACAGAGCACTTTGGTATCTACCTTTAACCCGCGGAGTCGCGGACCACTGACACTTGAGTCCCTCACTTTTTTTTTTTTGGCTCGGAACTCAATGGAGATTTTCTCTCAATTTTACTTCACCGATGTCCATCTTTAATCTTAGTCCCCTCACAACTTTGTGATAATCGTATTGAGGATAAATGTTATCTAAAACTTTGTTGTTGTTGTTGTTTTTAATGCCAACTATTTTATTAGGACAGCTGTAATACTGGCAATATCGAGAGACGCCTCATGAGACTTCGGGGCTCAGTTTGGACTGGTCCGGCACTGAAAGGGCGAGAAGCATCTGATTGTAAGAATAATGCATCATATTCGCATTCTCATTTAAAAACCCGTGTTAAAGTTGTATTTCTTAATTCATTAAGTAATTCATCGTACATATTCTCCATCAAAATCATTACGGAATTTTACATTTCCAGTGGCGTTTTAAGTTACATAACTTTTGTATTAAATACAAAAAAATTCTTACTGAGAACTAATGTTGGAGTCTTTCTTTCTCTTTGCTTGTTTTTCTTAAAACATGTTCCAAGATTTGTTTTCCTGCTTTGCTTGAAGACACAATTACAAAGAAATATTTTCCTCTTGGGAGGAAAGAAACACAATCCACTAACAAGGCAAATAGGATGATGAATGGTGCTGAGGGATTGCTGTGGTGGAAAGAGCTTTGCCCTCAGAACAGGCCTGGTTTAACGACATCAGAAGCCTTACTCCCAGCCACTGTTTAGCTGGAACTGGTGTTGTCAGACATCTTGACCTAGGAGCGAAACCAGAAATCTGAATATTATGGACCATTTCAGTTTCAAGATACTGGCTCAAAATGCTTGCCAAGCTAAATAAGTCATAGGCCAGGTGCAACCCAGGCCAATAGTTTTGGATTCCTGATTTAAATGATAAGCTGTTTAGAAGAGAGAGTTTGTTTATTGCTGTTCTCCAGGCCCCAAACAGGTTCTCTCACATATTTGGTAGTCAATAAATGTGTTGACTAGAAGAGGAAATTGACAGTGTCCTTAAAAAGTTAATAAGGAGACCGGTGAGATGGCTCAGTGGTAAAGACACTTTGTACCAAGCTGAGGACCTGAGCAGTCTCTGGGCTCATGAAAAGAATGACCTCCTGCTGACCCTCACATGTGTACTGTGGCACCTGTGCCCACAAAATAGATGAATAAACTGCAATTATATGTTAAAAGGAATAAGGTAGTTGTAGGGACTGCATAACATTTTAAAAAGGGGATTGATAATATTTATAGTATAATTTATTTGTGTGTGTGTGTGTGTAATGTATGTACTTATGTGTGTATGAGTATGGATAGTCACATGCCATGCTGCTGTGGAGGTCAGACCTTAAGTGTTGGTCTTTGCCTTCTGCCTTAAGACAGGATCTCCTTTTTGCTGTTTACATCATGCCAGGCTTGTTAGTTCATAAGCTTCAAGAGATTCTCAAAGCTCTGCTTTCTATTTTGTGGTAGGAGCAAAGGGATTACAGACGTGCTACTGTGCCTGGCTTCTTATGGGTTCTGGGCACTGGAATTCAGGTCCTCATGCCTTGCCCTCCAAATGTTTTTAGCTACTGGGAGCAAAGCCTGATAATATTTATCAAGCACTTGTTATAAGTCATACATAAAAAATTGTATCTTATTTGATACTTTTACAATTTTTGCTTTGTTTTGTTTTTTTGAGACAGGGTTTCTCTGTGTATCCCTGGCTGTCCTGGAACTTGCTCTGTAGACCAGGCTGGCCTTGAACTCACAGAGATCTGCCTGTCTCTGCCTCCCCAGGACTGGGATTAAAGCATGTGCCACCATGTCCAGCCATGCTTCTAAAATTTTTTTTTTTTCCGTTTTTCGAGACAGGGTTTCTCTGTGTAGGATGCTTCTAAAATTTTATAAAAATAGTTTAAAAATTTTTGAGGTCATAATATAATTACATCATTTCCCCCTTCCCTTTCCTCTTCCTCTCTCAAAACTTCCCATGTTGCCGGGCGGTGGTGGCGCACGCCTTTAATCCCAGCACTCGGGAGGCAGAGCCAGGCAGATCTCTGTGAGTTCGAGGCCAGCCTGGTCTCCAAAGCGAGTTCCAGGAAAGGCGCAAAGCTACACAGAGAAACCCTGTCTCGAAAAACCAAAAAAAAAAAAAACTTCCCATGTTCTCTTTTAAATTTATGACCTTTTTTCTTTGTTTTATGTATATACATATATGTATGTATGCTCCTACAATATAAAAAAATTATTTTTTGAGATCATAATATAATTACATCATTTTCCCCTTCCTTTTCCTTCCTCCATACCCTTTCATGTAAGCCCCCTTTCTCTTTTTCAAATTCATGGTCTCTTTTTCTTTGTTGTTACGTATATATGCGTGTAACATATATATGTGTGTGTGTATATAAATACATATATACCCTTATACACACATAAATACAATCTGCTCAGTCTGAATAATGTTATTTGTATGTTTTCAGGGCTGACCATTTGGCACTGAATAACCAACTGGTATGCTCTTCCTTGGGTAGACTATTTCTTCAGATCTCAGCACTCCTTAGTTGCCTGTGGTTCTTTGTCTAGGCTTGAGGCCTCATGAGAGTTCCTTCTTCTCTGATAGCATGTCTATTAATGTTGTCTTTGTTCAGCTCATGTTTAGACCGGCATGTTGGTGGGACTTCGTGGGTATAGCTTCTGGGTACCAGGCTTTCTTTTTTGGGCCACCAACCAGCTCCCAAATCATGACATGGAGACTCCTTATTAGTTATGAATGCTTGACCTAGCTTAGGCTCATTTCTAGCTACTTCTTTAACTTAACCTGTTTCTCGTTATCTACTTTGCCTCGGGGCTTTTTACCTTTCTTCCTTCTGAATAGCTAGCTTATTTTCACTGCTTCTCGTGTCTGGCTGGTGGCTGCCCGGCTTCTGGCCCTGGGTGTGTCCTTCTCTTTCCCCCTCCTTCTCTTCTCTGATTTAGACTCCTCCTCCTATTTATTCTCTCTGCTCACCAGCCCCACCCATCCCTCTCCTGCCTAGCTATTGTCTGTTCAACTTTTTATTAGACCAATCAGGTGCCTTAGGCAGGCAAGGTGAAACAAATGCAACACATCTTTACATAGTTAAACAAATGCAGCACAAACAATTGTAACACATCCTTACATCATTAAAGTAATATTCAGCAGCTTGAACAAATGTAACACATCTTTGCCCAGTTAAAATAATATTCCACAACACTTCTGACATTTGTTTGTTTGTTTTGGAGACAGGGTTTCTCTGTGTAACAGCTCTGGTTGTCCTACAACTCTCTTTGTAGACCAGGCTGGCCTCGAACTCACAGAGCTCTCTCCACCTGCCTCTGTCTCCTGAGAGCTAGGGTTAAAGGCGTGTTCCACCACCATCCAGCCCAGCTTCTGACATTTCTAGGAGACACAATCTCACAGCAAAACCCCAGCTCCTGTGCCCCCCTCTTCCACAATGGTCCCTAAGCCTTAGGTATAGGAACTGTATTGTAGATGTACCAGCTGGGACTGGGCTCTTTAACTCTGCATTTTGATTGGATGTAGTTTTCTGTAATGGTCTCTGTCTGTTACAAAGAGAAGTTTCCTTCCGAGGGGTGAGAACTACAGTTATCTGTGGGTGTAAGGACAAATATTTAGAGTATAGTTAGGGATTATGCTGGTTTAGTAAATTGGTGGTTGTAGGTTCTCCTCCAAGATCCATAACTTCCCTAGCCCTAGGTAGTTGACAAGATTTCCAGTGCCAGGCATGGTTTCCCAGTTGTTAAGTGGGTCTTAAGTCTTATTAGAGAGCTTCTGGTTACCACCAAGATATGCATGCCTCTATTTCACCTTAGAGTTATGGTGCCACGTCAGTCATTGATGTGGCTCATAGGCAGCATTGGTTGCTTCTCTCCTTTGGAAGCTTTTCGTGGCACCTCTGGTACCACAAAAGCTAGTCCTGAGGGAGGAGGCTTTCAGGTGAATCTGAGCCCTGTGTCTGAAGTGTATTATGTCTTCAGTAATAGGGACTTAGCTTCTACCTTTGGGGGGCAACTGAGGACAATAGCAATAGCCTATAATGTTTTGGGAGTCTCTTGGACAACCCTGACCAACAACTAACAAGAGGGCTGCTCATACCCAGTGTTGTGATGATCTGTGTCTCTCCAAGGGAGCACTCTCAGCCCAGACGGGAAAATCGCACTTCAACTCGATATGTCTGTCTATATACTGACTTACATGAATTATAGGGATTTTTAGGTAGATAGTTAAAAGTTTAATTACTGCTGGGCATGGTGGTGCACGCCTTTAATTCCAGCACTCGGGAGGCAGAGGCAGGCTGATCTCTGTGAGTTCAAGGCCAGCCTGATCTACAGAGTGAGAATCCAGGACAGCCAGAGATACACAGAGAAACCTTGTCTTGAAGCCGCCCCCACCCCCCAAAAAAAAGACAATAGAGGATGATTCCTTATGACTTTTCCAGAATCCTACTGCTATTTTATCATCCTTCCTCCTTTAGTATTTATCTCCCCCATTCCTAGTCAGAGCCCCTCATTTTCCCCATTTCCTCCTTCAGATCACCTGTGCCCTGCTAGTCCCCTCTCCTTTTCTTGAATTGTTGATGAGTGTGTATGTTCCTACAATGAAAGTTTTAAAATTTATTTTATGTGTAGTGGTGTTGGCCTGAATGTATGTACCACATGCATACAGTAGAAGAAGAGGGTATGTAATCCTTTGGAACTGGCTTTACACAAGGCTGTGAACCATCATGTGGGTGCTGGGAATTAAACCTAGGTTCCCTGGAAGAGCAGCCATTTCTCTTAACTGCTGAGCCAGCTCTCCAGCCCTCTTGCAATCTTATGTGGGATCCCCACTCTCTTTCATCAGGAAATGGCCCAAGAAGGGTGAGGTTACTTGGTCAAGGCCACGCAGCCAGTAGATGAAAAGTCAGTGGTCTCTGAAGCAACATCAGGCCATCTGACTTGCAGTCAGAGCAAGGCCATTCATGGGCAGGGGTATTTCCTGATGATTATAGCATTTTGAAAAGTGATAAATTCTTTCTAAAGGCTTGAGCCACCTAAATAGCACTTCTGTGATTTCATTATTTTTAAGTTTTTATTGTTGTTTCTTTTTGAGATGGAGTCTCACAATATATCCTTGGCTGGCCTGAAACTTGCTATGTAGATTATTCTGGTCTTGAATTCATAGAGATCCATCTGCCTCTTCCTCCTAGAATGATGGAATTAAAGTTGTACGCCTGTCTCTACGGGTTGTAATTTTCAAAGGTGGTGGCATTTTGTAATGATAAATGAAGGGGGAAAGGAAAGGATGCTGATATTATTTTATTTTTTCATTGTGTATATGTGTGTAATGTGCATGTGTGTGCAGGTATGTTTGACCATACAGATGTATATAGAAGCCAAAAGTCAACACTGAGTGTCTTCCTTAACCACTCCTCCACCTTATTTCTTGAAACAGGGTCTCTCACTGAACTTGGAGATGGCTGGTGCTGTTAGACTAGCTGGCCAACAAGCCCTGGGATCTGTGCCCCCCAGCACTGAGGTTATAGATGTACAGTGCCACGCCTGGCTGTTATGTGGGTGCTGTGGAGCTGAACTCAGGTCCTCAGGCTTGTTCCACAGCCACTGAGCCAGCTCCTGTTTTTTCCATTTTTAATACTTACTATTTTTTCTATCTGCATACATAATGTGTGTATGTATGGAGGCCAGAGGACAGCTTGCAGGAGTCAGTTCTCTCCTTCCACCATGTGGGTTTTGGGGGATCATCGAACTATTATTGTTAGGCTTGCTGGCAAATGCTTTTACTCACTGAGCCATTTCCCTGGCCCTACTTCTGTTTTTGAGACAAAGATCCTGTGCTATAGCCGAAGATGGCTCTTAACACCTTGTGTAGCCTAGGCTGACTTCAGATTCCTATTAACCCTCCTACCTCAGCCCCCTGAGCTGCTGGGATTACATGTATGAGCGTTTGGCTCTGATATTTATTTTGAATTATTGGAACAACATTTTCTTGTTTGTTTTCTCTTCTTTGAGATGACAGGGTCTCACTATGTAGACCAGGCTGGCCCCAAACTCACAGAGATCCACCTCCGTTTGCCTCCTGAGTGCTGGGATTTAAGGTGTGCGCCACCACGTCTGGCCTTAAGCGAGTTTTTGAATGTCTGTAAACTAACTGTTGTAGTTCCTGAAACAGACTTGTCATTTCACAGATGAGAGAGTGAGGCAGAGTGGGAAAGTCTCCAGCCACTCACTCAGCTGCACAGGGCCAGTCGGGGGCTTTTGAAGACGACGGTCTCCCGAACTTGCCTGTTGACCTCCTTCTAGCTTCACACTTGCTTGTTTTTAAATTATGTTTTTGTGTGTGACCACGTTTTACTCAGTTGGGTTTGATAGACAGTTTATGATTTCATTTCAAATTGAGATCTCCTGCATGGCTGTCTAACGTATCAAAATAATAACCCCTAAGTGTGTGGCTGCTAATTCTCCAGAGGGTTAAAATGCTGCAAGACTGGGTTTTGTCTTAAACCATCCATAGCTATGAACTTGCCAAATGAGGACCAGTGGGACGAAACCACCTGTGGCTCGGCAGTTTGTCAGCATCCACAATGCTGGACATCTCTCCGACGGATCGAGAGGGGCCATCCTAGGATCCTGGACTCATCCAGCAAATCTTCCCGCGAAGTTGAAGGTACGTTGGCTAGCCTCTGGTGTCTTCTTCACTGAGTCCTTATCCTGTTTGTTTGGTTCCCTTTCCGCAGGCAACAGGTTACACGTTTTATTGTGGTCCACTTTCTCAGATAAACTCCCGACACTCACCATTGTAAATATCACGGATACCTGCTTGTGGTCCAAGCAGAGGGTGGTTCAGCGACCACGATCAGAATTTACCTTCCCTAAGGAGCGGTCTTTACTGTGGAAACCAACCTGCAGACGTCATGGCAGGTAAGTGATCGAAGAATCTTTCCTTAGCAAACTGTGTCTCCAAACCCTAGGTGTGCATTTCTCTCATCCGCACAGATGACTCAGAAGGATGGATTTGAAAGAAAATACTGAGGGCTGGGGCTGTAGCTCAGTGATAAGACCCCTTTGCTCAGCACCTACGAGGCTTTGAATCTGATCCCCAGTGTTACCAAAAACAAGACAGCAAAATGGAACATACCCAAAGTTAAGTGAATAGTAAACAGGGAAAGGAGAGTCCAAAGGAACAGCCATACGTGTGTTCCGGGAGCAGAGTAAGTGGGGCTGTAGTGGTTTGCCCAGGTGAAGTACCGTTGCCTGGGTGGTTTAACTAATGAAATTCAACGTCACAGAATTCTGGAGGCAAGAAGTCTGAGATCAAGGAGTTCGTATTTTTTTCCTAGGCCCCTCTCCTAGGAGATGACATCTTGTCCTTCAGTCTTCTTTGTGTGTCTGAACCCTAATCTCATTTTATAAACATACTAATCCTATTGGATAAGGACCCACCCACCCACAGGACCTCATCTCATTTTAGTTCTCTCTTTAAAGAGTCTGTCTCAAAATATAGTCAGTCACATTCTAAAGTACTGGGGTTAGAAACTCAGCAAATGAATTTTAGGTTTGGGGCACAACTTAGCTGCTAATGGGGCGATTTTATCAGCTTCTGAAGGTCATCAGAGAAGAGTGGGCACACATGCTGCCTGCCTGCCTCCCTCCCTCCCTCCCTCCCTCCCTCCCTCCCTCCCTTCCTTTTCCTTTTTTTTTCTTGACAGGGTCTCTTCATAGTCTCTGCTGTCCTGGAACTCACTAAATAGATCAGGCTAGTCTTGAACTCACAGCGATCTACCTGTCTCTGCTTCCCAGTGCTGGGATTAAAGGCGTGTGCCACCATGCCTGGTTCATGTTGTCTTATTTTTTTAGTTTTAGATGTGAAACGACTTGTAAGCTCCTAGTGGCTTTTTTGTTTAATCTCCTGCAAAGTCTAGGCACCCAGTTTTGCCGAAACATGAAATTGCAGTTCTGTGGAAACCTCAGCTTTTAAAATTCAAAGACCTCGCTGCCCAGAGTCCAAGCACTAATGACTGCCCTTGAAGTGGTTTCTTTTCTCTAGTCCATGTAAGCAAGCTGGTGATTTTTCTTAGCCTTATGGGAGTATAGGAGGGACTAGGACTACTTTCTGATTCTCTAGGACCTGAGCCCTGAGAAAGCAGCATCAGCATCCAGCCAGGACCTGCACTGGGCCCCACATCTGCACACAGGCACGCTTCTGCTCCCATTAGGGCCCGTGTGTCCGTGCTGCAGGTAGCCCCCTCAGCAGCCAGCTCCTGTTCCATCTGTTCCTTCTGTGTTCTTGCTGTCCGCCTCCGCCTCTGTCCTGGACTGTTTCCACACCACCTCGAGTGTGGGCTTCTGCTCTCTTGCCTCTTCTCTGACACTCGGACTAATGCTTTGCCCATCTCCTCACTCACTTCATTCCTCCGCATCTGCTCGTTCTCGAGCTGTCCCCTCTGTTCTGCTGCACTCCTCTCTGGTCATGGTCCTCGCTCTCTGATGTCAACTTTTTCTGGCTTTTCGATGGTGACTTGCTGCTGTCTCTAACACTTTGCCCATGTGGTCTTCCCAACCTTAAAGGCTCCCTTCCCTCTGCCCTGCTTCATTAAATCCCTGGAGTGCCTTAGACTGCCACAGGAGGTCCTGAATTCCTGACGGACCTCACCTTCTGTGTCTCTCTTTCTTGTTCAGTAGGTTCCAGCCATGTTGTCCTTTCTGTCTGTCACATCCTCCACACTTCCCACCCCACAGCTCAGGCACCTACACTTTGCTCCCTAGACTGGTGTTTTACAGTCCACCATTGCTGACACTTTGGGTCAGATAGTTATTATTGGGGTCTGTGCTGTGTGTCATGGGTCACTGAGCTTCATTGCTGTCTACACACTGCAAGCCAGTACCACCTCACCTGCAACTGTGACAACCTCAAATCCATCCATCCATTGTCAGATGTGCCTTGCGGGGGGGGGGGGGGGGGGGGGGGGGGGGGGGGGCAGAGTTGCCCATTTGAGAACATTGCTTTTGATGCTCCTGCAGCTAGTTCTTCCTTGTCCTCTAGTTTGAACTGAAGAATTGCTTTTTCACAGAGATGAGCACCTTATTTAAAAGTTCCCATATACACCTTGACCATCATTAGACTTGGCCTCTTTGGCCTCGCATCCTGCTCTGAGAAGCCTTTTATTCATTTGTTTGCCTTGTTGCCACAAAACTCAGCTCTCACTTCAAAGGGAATGCAAACTGGGCATGGTGGAACCCAGTTTAATCCCAGCACTCAGGAGGCAGAAGCAGGCAGATCTCTGTGAGTTCGAGGCCAGCCTGATCTACATAGTGAGTTCCAGGATAGCTGGGGCTACACAGAGAAACCCTGTCTCAAATCACAACAACAAAAAGAAACATAAAATCATTCATTCTTGAGCCAATCTGAGTGACCTTGGCCTGAAATACAGAGGTTACAACAAAGTAGGAGAGCTCTCTGTTACAGGTCTCAGCTGCTACATGGTGACATTCTTCCTTAGCTCTCGGGTGGGTGAAAACTAATGAGCTATTACTACATCTCAAAAGGTTTCGCCTGATGGTTACAGCATGTTAGGTCAGACACAGAGCAGAACAACAAATGGTTATAAAAGGAGTGAAAGATAGCCAAGAGAATTTGGTTCTGGATCTGTAACATGCTAACGCTCCACAATCACAGTCAGTCATTCAACCTTATAGACTTTAATATAGATATGGCTTTGGGAGTGAGAGGAGGGACATCACTTCACAGAATCCTGTCATTAGAATGAATGTCAGTGCTGGGAGCTGGAGAGGTGGAGTAATGGTTAAGAGCACTGGCTGCCCTTCCAGAGGGTCCAGGATATATCGTTCCATTCTATTCCTTCCCGTGTCTCCAACAGTACATGGCACAGAGTGGAAGCTCAGGTTTCTGGTGAATGAGTGAATATGGTGTCCTCCACTGTCAAGGTTGAGTTTTACCTCTTACCATTCTCCCTGCGTGCTGATTCTTCCCAGTTCTTCCATCAGTGATTGCTCCTGCCATGCTTATGGATTTGTTCCAGTCCTACATCCTCTTTGCTCACCTGCATTTGAAGCCCTTTTGAAAGTAGGAGTCACAGCATCATTTGTTTAGTCACATATGCAGCTCACAAATATGTTTTTAGTGGGGGTCACCAGGCTGGGTTCTGGGGATACAACAGGGTTTTGTTTATCTCATGGAAATAAGACAGTGTCTGTGCTCAGAGGCTTTCATCTTAGCTGGGTATTGATTACCCAGAGTCCAGGGATTTCGCTATGTCTGGCATGGGATATCTGAGGGAAAAAAAATCTATGTACACTAAGCTCTTATGTCTGTTAACTATTCCTCTAAGACAAAATTCTATCAATACAGCTACAACTCCATTGAGCATTCAGGGCAGGGATAAATCTAGATGCACCAAGCTCCTTATCCGTCTACTTTATTTCTCTGGGGTGAATCCATAGCTTCAGTTCTCCATAGCTTCAGTTCCATCCAGTTCCCTTTCATAGTCCTGCTGATGACTAAGCTCTTATGCTTCCTACCTCGTCTTCGTCCTCTGTTTCTTCTCACTCCATCCTACTTGCTCTCTATTCCTAGCTCAAGAGTTTTGTCTTGCCATCTACATTACCTCTGTGTTCTTCTCTTCTCCTTGGTCATGCCCTTCTCTCTGTCTACAGAAAATGCCTGCTTCTTTTCTCTCTGGCCAGGCAGTTCTCTGCCCTCTCAGGAATGTTCCTCCACCCTACCTTCTACCTCTTTTGTTCTCAGTCAGTTGCTCTGGAGAGCCACTAGGCCTCAAGGCATCATTTGCACAAGAAGCAAAGCTGTGCATCTCCAGCCAGCTTGTCTCCTAGGCTCAGTGGGGGAGTTAGTTACCTAGAAGTTCAGCAGGTCTGGGGAGCTGAACTGTTAGCCAAATGGTCTGGAAATATTTGGGCACGCAAGAATTTCATAGCAGAAGGCAGCTGAAATATTAAAGCCTGGTTAGCACCAAATATTCATAATAAATGGCTTGCCTTTTGACAGTCCCTTGGCTGGTCAAAGTATAGCTTTAATATACAGCTGAATCTCTGTAATATATTCTTGTGGCTCGCCACAGCTGGGGAGGCAAAGATACCAGCAGGCTGGGGTGTCCAGTGTGGAGTGACCTAAAAGGACTACTGTTCCAGGCTATGGAAGCACAGGGAAGATTTCCTAACCTAGAGCCCGGTCATCTGCACAGGGAATATTGATCCCCGGCTCTGAAATTAGAGCAGCATATTGAAAGGGGGGGGGGCTTGCATGTGGGAAGCTGGCAGGGAGAAAACTCTAAACTACAGAGCTGGGCAGAGGTAGTGCACACCTTTAACCCCAACACTCAGGAGGCAGAGCCAGACGGATCTCTGTGAGTTCGAGGCCAGCCTTGTCTACAAGAGCGAGATCCAGGACAGGCACCAAAACTACACGTAGAAAACCTGTCTCAAAAAACCAAAACCAAAACCAAAACCAAAAAACAAAAACAAAAAAAACTATAGGACTGGGGCCTGAAAGTGAGAGGACATTCTTTGAGAGTTTGGAACACAGAGCAGGAATGATGTGGGCTCAGAGGTAAGGCTGAACTGTAGAAAATACCAGTGGAAAGTAAGGTCTCTCACCTGAGACTTCATAAGTCAGGATGAATGGAGTCTTTGTTTGCATACCTCCATATTACTGTTTCTTAAAATTAAGGAACTTATTTTTAAGTAATAAGTCTTAAAAATAAGGAACAAATGATATGAAAACATTACAGGTTCTCTATCTCTCTGTGTCTGTCTGTCTGTCTGTCTGTTTCTCTCTCTCTCTCCTATGTTGTTTTTTGAGACAGGGTCTTACTATGCAGCCCTGGCTGGCCTTGAATCACAAAGGTCTGCCTCCTTTTGCCTCCCAAGTGCTAAGATGAAAGGCATGGATGGACCTCTGTGCCCAGCCTTAATAAGCCTAAAGAAATTGTCTTTACTTGGTGTGTGTGTGTGTGTGTGTGTGTGTGTGTGTGTGTGTGTGTGTGTGTGTGTGTGAATACAAGCATGTGGGCATGACACTGCACATGTGGAGGTCGGGGGACTGTTTGGAGAGTGGGTTCTGTCTTTCCAGTGTGGGGATCAGGGATCAAGGTTAGGTTACCAGGCTTACACAGAAAGTGCTTTTACCCTTGAGCCATCTTGCTGGCCCATACTACACTGTTATTTAAGGTGCTGTACTCGTTTTCCTATAGTTAGAGAGGCATAGGCTATGCATTGAGTTTGATGAGATACCTAGTTATAAAGTGCAGTATACAATGTCCGTGTAGGAATACCTGTGTTTATTTGATTAGTATTAAATCCCGGGCCTTCGTAGTGAGTAGATGGGTTTTCTTCAGAGCGTGAACTTTGCTATTCCATTGGCTTTTTTCCTCTTTGACTCTCTTTCATACTTGGCACTCATATCTTCCAGGTCTCCGAAGGCTTTACGTGACAAGGGTGTACCTGGCCTTTCTAGTCCTCCCACAGTAAGTCACAGTTTTAAATGCTGACTCCTCTATAGTTTCTCTTTATTAGTGGGAATATTTTGCTTTTGACATTATTCTTTTAAGAAAATTTTTATTCTCTGTGTATGGTTGTTTTGCCTATATGTCTGTGACCCATGTGTATGCCTGGTACATTCCAAAGCCTGAGAGGGCATTGGATCTCCTGAAGGTGGAGTTACAGATGGTCGTGAGTCACCATCTGGGTGCTGGGAATTGGACCTGGGTCTTATTCCCTGAACCATCTCTCCAGCCCCAGCATCATGGAATGAGAAGGATACGAGCTGTCCTTACTGTGTGATAGGCTGGCTCTGTGCTAACAGCTCCACAGGCTACATTGTCTTTAGAAACCCCAGACACATGGGAGTGATCTGTGAACGTTTGACATAGGTGAAGATTTTCTCTCTGTCCTTATATAGAACATGCTCAACTTTCAAGTAAACATTCTCATTTCATAAACAGAGAATTCAAATTGCTGAAATGTTAGGCTTAAAATTGGCCTTAAGGCCATCTAGTCTGATGACTCCAGCTTTAAAAACTGTGATCCATGGTTAGACATGGATTTTATATACATGTCTGAAAATGTCATAATGAAACCCATTATTTTATATGCCAACTTAAAATAATGTTAGATTTTGCAGTCAAAAAGAGCATAAAATAATCTTTCCCTTCACCAGAGGGGAAGTATTCTGATATTTTCTGTCCTGTTTTTTTCTCTGTCCTCTCTCATTTTCTGTCCTGTTTTTTCTCTCTCCTCTCTCTTTCTTGTTTTTTTTTTGTTTGTTTGTTTGTTTTTAGACAGGGTCTCATTATATAGCCCTGGATGGTTTGGAACTTGCTATGTATATCAGGCTGTCCTGGAACTCACAGAGATCCCCCTGCCTCTACCTCTCCAAGTCAGTCAGTTCTGATCAGCAGACAAGACTTTATTTTTGGTAACTTTGAAAAAAATCTTAAACGGAATATGGGCTAGATGATTCATAGGATTTCTTTGAGCCCTAGTGCTGTGTGACTGATCTCAGGGGTGGGAGAAATTAGCAAGGTAACTCATATGGATTCCTGTAATTATAGACAGAGTGAAACTAAAGGAAGAAACCTTGATGACCTATGCTCAGTATGTCCCCAGTTCCAAAATGTGGGGTGTATTACCTGCAGGGAATCCAAGTCTTTGCATGGAGTGGCAGAATAAGTAGAGTTCCTGTAGGGTTGCCTCCAGACATCCTCATGTGAGATGGGCCTTTCTAAATTCTACACTAATGGCATGGAGAAGCAGGGAGTGTTACTGTTGAAAAACTTCTACCCCCTGAGAAGCACTTGTACTGATATCCCATGTAGGAGGGCTTTTTAAAAAACAATTTTCTGAATCATCAAATGTTTTGGTGACTGTAACAACACAGCATTTGGTCTGAGGCCCCAGCCTCCTGCTGGTGCTCAGTACCAGTCCATTGCTCACCTTTATCTAGCTTTCAGTGTTGAATCTGAATGAGGCAAAACTTCCTTTTTCCGAAGATGTTGGAAACTTGGTGGTAACCTGGGTTCCAGAAGAAACAGAGAAGAACATAAGGTGAGCATCCTTGTCTGAAACTTAGAGGCCTTGATGGCCATACTCTTTAAATCCCTGTGGCCCTCTGCAGACTCTTTTGTCATCTCCCTTCTAGCTACCTCATTGCAGGCAGCAGCTGGCCAGACGCAGAAGGTGGTCCAGGTTTGCCTCTGCCTCTTACCACACTGGACTTCATTGTAATGACGCTGTGAGATGCCTGCTGTGGGAATTCTCCACGGGAGTAAAGAGCGCATAAGAGAGCCCAGTTTATTTACATTTCTCTGTTGTATTTGTACATGCAGGCATGTGTGCGCCACAGCACAGGTGTCGTGGTCGGAAGACAACTTGCTGAAGTAGTTGGCCTTGGGGGCGTGACTTTCCACTTAAAAACAACAACAACAAAACCTTAGTTTATTAATTGGGGGAGCATGCCAAAGTGCCCTTGCAGAAGTCACATGATGACTTAGGAGAACCAGAGGACAGCTTGCAGAAGTTGGTCCTCTCCTTCCCTTTCATCAGGTGGGTCCCAGGGATCCAACTCAGCTCATCAGGCTTGGTGACAGGCATCTTTACCTGCTGAGCCAGCTTGCTGCTCCTCCTCCCCAAGCTGCATTTGTTATGGGGTTTAAGAGACAAGTGCTGGCCCGTGAGATGGCTCAGCAGGTATGGACACTTTCCACCAAGCCCAGTGACCTGAGTATGACCCCTGGAACCCACATGGTAGAAAGAGAAAACTGACTCTTCCAAGTTGTCAGCTGATCCCTACAAGAGCCCCGGGCATGTGTAGTTCCAGCCCTGAAATAAATACATGGAAAAAAAAACCCTTTTCACTTACAAAGAAACACATTCGGGGTTGGTTTGGTTTGGTTTTTCCTCACAGATGAGTAGAAGAGCCCTCAGTGAAACATGAAATTTTGATCTCAACCCTGAGGCCTAGGGCATCGAGAGAGAATGAACAGCATATGAGCCTTTCACATAAGCAGAGGGAAGGCCCAAAGGCTTGTTAGCACTGCAACTGTAGGAAAGGTGCTTTTCTTTGACAATCACTGAGGTTTTCAATTCTTGCTAAGTGGCTGAATTAATTATATCAATCTTAAGAGTTTCTTTTCCACTTTCTCTTTGTGCCCAAATTTATATATGCATTTGTGTGTGTGTGTGTGTGTGTGTGTGTGTGTGTGTGTGTGTGTGAGTGTGAGAGATGTCACCAACAAGAGCCATAAACGTTCATTTTCTTTCATGTACAAGAGTCATGGAGGTGGGTTGGCCAGGGACAGAATGGTAGTTGAATGAAAGAAACGGAACATGTGTAGCTTTCCGCCACACCCATGCTCGTCATTCACAAATATCCTTAGCACTTCCATTTGAAACGTCTGGGGATGAGTGCTGGTTTTTCTTATTTCAAGCTCAGTTGGAAAGACACCTTTTTTTTTTTTTTTTTTTTTTTTTTTTTTTTCCAGCTGGCCTGGGAAGAAGAGAAAGAAACCGAGAGAGGTGAGTTCCATGCTCTGTTCCTTGAAGTGATTCTGTAGGTTGATGCTTTTTCCTTTGAGGATTTTCCAACCCTGTCTCACAAAATCTGTAAAGGAAACCCTTTCTTTAGGAATAGCTACAGATGTCTTCAGACCCTTCCCTATCTAGTCTCTGTAGGAAGGTAAGGAATATTTTTAAGAGAGGAAACAGGAAGCAGTGGCTATCAAGGGGAACCTCTGTCAGTTAAAAGCTAATCCCCGGTGTGATGGGATAGCATTCCAGTGGACCAGGAGCAATTCAGATCTGGGCTCCCAACCCCAAGCCTGCCTTTATGGTAAATGTGATCTTATGTCCCTGGAAGTAGTTCCTGCTCCATTTCCTTCATTGACCAGTTCCCACTTTCTGTTTGGCACCTAATTGGATGGTTATTGTTGGTTTGTTCAGTTCATAAGTGCATGGCCTCTCCAGAAAAGCAAATTGACCCTGGCTTGATCTCATTGGAACAGCATGTTAGAAGGCCAACAAGGGAAAGACGGGTATCTTTCATGGAGGAGACAAGGCGGGAAAACTTGAAGTAGGTCTGTGTGTTATTTTTTGAGTTGTTGCTGCCACCAAAATACATGAGCAGGTGACATCACAGGTGAAAAGATTTATGCTGTCTTGAGTTTCAGAGGGTTCACAACACAGAAATGCTTGGCCTCAGGTGCCTGGGCAGAATATTGGGACAGAACAGCCCGTGGTAGAGGCTGTTCAGCTCTTGGCAGACTGGGTGTGGAAGAGGCTAGGGAAGATGGAGGGAGCCTCTAGGGCCAGCCTCCAGTTTCCTGCTGCTGCTGCTGGCCAGGCTCCACTCCCCTTCACTGTGTCCCAACTATGCCATCATGTTAGGGACCCGTCAAGGGACTAATCCACTCATTACATCAGTGGCCTCATGGTCTGATTATTTCTGGAGTCCCTACAGGCACACCCAGAAGGTGCTTTGCTAACCTCTTTAACGTTTTTTATTAGTTGTGGTTATTATCTGTGCCCGTGTAAACACTTGTACCATGGTATGGGTGTAGAGATGAGAGGACAGCTCTTGAGAGCTGATTCTCTCTTTCCATTGTGGGTTCCAGATGGTGCAGCAAGTGTTTTTACCCGCTGAGCCCCGTCACCTGCCGCCCTCAGTTTTTAAAATTTATTTATTTATTTATATTTTATGTATGAGTGCTCTGCATGTATACCTGCATGCCAGAAGAGGGCATCAGATCCTAGTATAGATGGTTGGGAGCCACCATGTGGTTGCTGGGATTGAACTCCGTACCTCTAGAAGAGCAGTCGGTGCTCTTCACCCCTGAGCCATCTCTCCTGCTTCATCTCAGTAGTTTTTGTTTATTTTTGAATTCAATCGAATTGACACTCACAGTCTGGAAGTAAGGAGTTTCAGGTGTCAGGGTGGAATATTGGTGGGAAGAAACAAGACTTGAGGAGAATGTTCTCAGAGAGTCCCTTGCTTTGTTTTTGTTCCAGAAAACCAAGCCATCTCTGTATTTCTCTGGAAGACAGTATGCATCGACGTACTCGAGAAGTCCAGGGGTGATTGTCCCTCCTCCCTCTCCAGTGCACTTTTTTGACCCATTAAGTTCCCAAGTCATACCTCTATGGGCCCAGGTCGACATGCTTCCCCAGGATCTACTGAAGGAGTGGTGAGTATCATGGAGTCAGTGGGGAGAGCCAGAGTCCTGCTTTCTATTGAAGCCGAAAAGGGTGAAACCATGTGCTTTGAGAACAGGGAGCGAGCTACGATCCTGCTTGTTTGGATTACTAACAGGCAGGGTGACAGTCATCACCACCACCGTTCCTCAAGCACTGGGCTCCTGGCTAAGCATAGTATGTGGACTCTCTAACTCCTGACCCCCCTTTTCCCCGGAGACTAGTTATGGACATTTGTCCATTTGGGAGGCAGAACGGTATATGTGGTTTGGAATGTGACAACCTTTGAATGACACATTGAAACTTAACTGGCTTTGTTAACTATTGGTAACTTATTTAGCTTTTTTCTACCTAGCTTTCCTCATCTGCAAAACGAGGAGGATGATAATATCTTGGGGACTGTAAGGGGTTAGTGGTATAAAGGAAGCATAGGAGTCTGGCATAGCGTTAGCCCTTAATAGACCCAGTTGTGGTCGTCATAGCTGAGTGGGAAGGTGTTACCGAGGGAGGCCCGTGCAAGCCTTTGTAGAGCCAAAGTGGACATTTCTTTAGATTTGAGCCCCTTTCTTCTTTCTCCTCAGCGCCTCTCTCTGGGAAGAGCTGACTGTCTGGATGTCTCTGTCCCCTTTAGCTTTTTGGCACATGAGAAGACCATGACTAGTCCTGAGGTGAAGACAGAGTTGGCCAAGATGAGAAAGAATCTTCCCCCAGAAAAGAGCCGACCAGTCAGCGCTGTCTCCTCTAAGATGTATCTAACTATACACCGCATCACCCTGCAAGTAAGAACCGTGGTGCCTCAGAGGAGAAGGCCTACAAGGAGGCCGAGCCATCTGTCTTGAAGAGAGGAAGCGTTGGTTATCTGTCCATTCTTCATTCTGCCCTGCCGCTCTGGACCCAGGCTTTGCAGAGCGGAGGGCTGGATTGTGTGGAAGTGAAAGCCAGGATAGGGGGAGGGGCAAGGGGAGCAACTCTGGGTCTTCTGGACTCTGTTTCCCACTCATGTCCCTTCTTCCTCGGACCTTGGTACAAAGCCACTGCCGAAAACCCGTTTCTCAGAACACCTTTATAGACTAGGTGAATACATGTGCTTGGGGCAAAGAGAGACCCACAGAAGAACTTTTTGCTCATTTTTTCTTCTGGCAGAGACCATCGTTGCGGTACCCTGAACATCTGAGGAAGCTGCAGTACAACCTGAAGAGAAGGGAAGGATCTCCCGGGCCTGACTCTTCAGGTACCGTCTTCTCCTCTGTCACGGCACAGTGCTCTCATGTCACTTGGTCCCTGTTCAATTGTATCCACAGTCACACAGGGTCAGGTGGAGAACCCAGGAGACCCCAGTTTTAGAGCAGCTTCTTGCTTGGTCCTGGCCAGGGAAGGAGAGTCACCGTAGTGGGGCAGGTCACAGTCAGTAGCCTGGCGGATGTGGACTCTCAGCGGGGAGGACTGAGCTGACCTCTCTGCTTCCCAGGTTTCAGGAAGCAGCAGCAGAGGAAGATGAAAACCTCTACTACGAGACAGGTAGAGTAGGGAGGGAAGCCTCTTAGATGTGGGTGCAGTGAGGGCTGGGAAGGGTACCTCAGAGGAGGGGCCCTTCCCTGGGTGTCAGTTGTTGATAGGACATTACTGTCCGGTAGTCATTTCAAGTTCTTTCTTTTTGCCAAAGTTTTCTTTGCTTCCAAAAGTCCCAATTCAGTTCCTTATGTTGGTTTCAGGAGGCTAAGAAGAAAGCCCAGATTGATGTTGAGGTCCAGCGCAGTATGAGTAAGTCGACATTTATAACCCTCCCTTTGCTTAGTCAAGTGATAGCATCCCAGGATGTAGCGAAGGGCAGCAGTCAAACACACTTTTCTCAGGCATTCAGAATTGTTCTGGAAATGCTCAATCTGTCTGGCAGGCCTACCCTGAGTCATCCGTGAACTAAATAGTTACTGGACAAGTAGGTTAGGCTGTATGTCTGCTTCACACAGGCATTTGGGAGATGACTGACTCATAGTTGTATTTTCTTCAGGTCCTGCTTTAAAAAGTACAGAGTGGGAATCAGGTGTCGGGATACCTGTCTCTACCAGTATCTCACAGGCTGAGGGGGAAGATTGGAAGTTCGAGGCTTACGGAGACAGGTCCTGTCTCTCAAGAGCCCTCTGGTTTCCCCCAAAAAGCTGGAGAGTTCTGGGGCTCAGTGGGCAAGCAACACGTTGTATCAGCAGTAACAGTACTCAGCAGGCAGCCATTCTGACTGGTGTCATGTTGAAATCCAGAACAGTACCTATCTTTTTGGAGCTCTGATCTCATAGACTGAGGGACACGTGGAGCCCTGCCTGCCTGACATTTCTCAGCTTGAATGCAGAGTAGGAAGGGCCAAGGAAGACTCTTCTAGAATCTTATAAGATTGTTCTGCTCAGACTGGGCATTGCTGGCTTTACTCTGCAAACAACTGAATTCTCAGAATTTGCTGTGGAATCTGGGGTCCTGAGCGGGCTCAGGTGAGACGTCCCTGAGAAAGCTGCTGTCTTTGTGCTTTGCTTCACATCCCACTGTTTTCTGGTGTCAGCGCTGTCCATAAGCCTAAAGGTCTACAAAGGGTTCTGACCTCCATGTAGGAAGTAGAAGAGGCTGAGGCTCAGGGTAGGAGGAATTTGTCCAAGGTGAGTTCCTCTCTAGGATGATCGTTCCCACAGTTCTCTTCTGGTTCCTTTTGTACTTCTTCCTGATGCTCCCAACAAGAGCTGTGTTGCTTGGGTGACTGGTGTGCCTCTCTTGAGTTATGGTCTCCGAGCGGTGGCCTGTCCTCCCCAAGTTGAGACGGGCTTTACAGAAAAGATGGTTTGTGAATTGGATCGCAGTCGTGTGGGGTTCCTGATGTGGGAAAAGAATTCCTGGAATTGAGAGTAGCTTGGGAAGATGTGTCTTGCTTAGTGTAGCTGCTTAGTGTGGCTGTGAGGGTTTAAGGGAGAATGTGGAGAGAGGGGCCTGCGTAAGACTCTCTGCACTTACATTTTCCCTTTGTGTTCACCCTGACTGCACACTGAAGCCAACCGAGAAGCTTTTAAAACCTAACACCCAGCCTGAACCCCTCATGTTTTAGATCATAGTTTCTGGAATTGGGGCCCAATGTCGGTTAAAGCTTTTCAGTGTGGCCCGTGTGAAGCTTGGATGAGAACCAGTGCTTGGGAGCAACGGAAGTGTTCTGTTTAGCAGAACCCTTGGGAGTTGTTTGTCTAGAGGAGGGTGAGAAAGAGAGAATGGGTGCCTTCAGGGTGTGGTTGGGAAAAGAGTGTGTGTGTGAAAGGAATACCCAAGGCCTGGATTCAGAAACTAACATGGGTCTGTTGGGGGTATCCTCAGAGGAGCGCATGACACATTCTCAAACTAGGGGTAGCAATGGAAAGAAACAGAGTTAGCAGCTTCTTGATTCCTTTTGGAGACAGGCTCTCACTGTGTAGCCCAGGCTGGCCTGGAACTCACTGGTAGATCAGGTTGACCTCAAACTCTTGATCCCTGTTCCTTCGCTTCTCAGTGCTGGGATGACAGGAGTGCCGGGCCTGGCTTAGCTAAGATCCAGGGTCTTTGGCTGCTGACCATTGCAGGGATCCACTGTGCACCTCTTGCAGGAGTCCTAGGTCGCTCCGTCTCTGTGCGTCTGTCTCTTTCACTGACCAGTTCTGAATGCAGGTTACATACACTACTGCTCTCTTCCTGCGCTTTCATTGCTCCTCCCTCGTGTCTGCTCTTGCCTTTCCTACATGGCGAGACTTGGCTTTTTGTTTCAGAATTGGTTTGCCCTCTTTGATCACCTTTAGCCTGGTGACAACACCTTGCTGGGGCTTTTATCTGTTCTGCTTATTCAATGTAGATGACACATTTCTTCCTGAAAACTTAGACTGCTTTGATGACTTTGGAAATGTCCTTGTATAGCATGAACTTCACTATCCTTTCGATGGGCATAGATTGAGCATTACACTTCAGCTCTTTGGAAAGAGGGGGAGACAGGATCTTCCCCTGAATGTGCAAAGGGGCATTGAAATGCCCTTTATGGTTTTGCTTCAGGCAGAAGTCATAAAGGGATTGGACTTCATTTGATGCCTGCCACTCCAGCAATGGCCACAAGGGGGCCTGCCCCCCCCTTTTAAATTTAAATTTTATTTTATGTTTATGGGTGTTTGGCACACATATCTACAGACCATGTCACGTGGTGCCTAAGGAAGCCAGAAGAAGGCATTGGATCCCCTGGGGTTCAGTGTATATTCTGGGAATTGAACTCAGGTCCTCTAGAAGAGCAGCCAGTCCTCTTAACCACTGAGCCATGTCTCCATCCCTCTTTCCACTTTTTTTTTTTTGGAGGCAGGGTCTCACTGTGTAGTCCCTGCTGGCCTGGGACTCGATATGTAGATAAGGCTGAGCTGGCACTCACAGATCCACCTTCCTCTGCCTCCTGAGTGTTGTGTGCCCACCAGTGCTGGCACTGGGTCTCTTCTAGTCTCTAGCAGACATGGCTACATCCTAGGTAAAACAGGATCATAGAACTCAGAAGGCTTTACAGGGTATGCATATTTTGAAACATCTCATGGAAACTCATAAATATGTATAATATTTTTTATGCATCAGTTATAAAAAAAAGACATCCCTTGACAAAAATGGAATTCAGAAGATCTACCTCCCTTTCATCTACCACCAAGGCCTTATCTTGTCCTGAATAGGGAATTACTCTAGGGGTCAACTATAAGTCCAACTATGGGACACGAAATGCCAATAAGAAGAGGACTGAACCTATCTTCTGTTACTAGGTCAGATAATCCCATCAGTAGAGGAAGATGAGCAAAAGCTGGAGGAGCAGGAAGAGGAGGCGACAAAAGCCTTTGTGAAACATGTAAGTGTGTATGCCCCAAGGCCTCTGCTGGGGTCCAGTTTGGTAATCTCTTACTGCGAATTTATATAGCAAACTACCCCAAAATACAAGAAGAGGTGGTCTAGTCAGTTAGTTTTTTTTCTTGAGACACGACCTTGTTATGTAGCCCAGGCTAGCCTAGAACTTGCTATGTAGACCAGGATGACTTCAGACTTGATCTTCCTGCCTTAGCCTCCAGAGGACTGTGATCATAAGCTCCTGCTACAATGCCTAGCCCATGATGTGTTATTTCTAATAAGTCTGGGTTGACTGGACAATCATTCTTCTCCTACTTGAGATCGGTCGGTGCCGCTGGGAGGAGCTGTTAGCCAGGGTGCCTGTGTTCTCGTCTATGATTTCTCTCTATGTGATTTATTGTGCTTATTGACAGACTAGCCACTTTCTATCTTTTAAAAAATACATTTATTTTATGTGTGTGTTATGTCTTGAGAGAAAGACAGAGAGACAGAAACAGAGACAGAGACAGAGACAATGTGTATCATATATGTGCAGTGCCCACAGAGGCCACAAGAGGGCACCAGATCACTGGGAACTGGAATTGGAATTGTGAGTAGTAGTTTGCTTCCTGATATGGGTGCTAGGAACTTAAACACTGCAAGATCAACATTTGTTCTTAACTGCTGAGCCATCTCTCAGTGGTTTTTTTTTTTTTGTCTAGTCATTCCTTAAGTGATGGACTTAGAGCTAAAACATTTATTGGTCAAAGAAGCCAGCATTTCATTTCAATTCCCAGGTGTGAAAATAGACCACATTTCTTGATGAGAGCAGTGGCCGTCTGGGCAGCCATCTCTAGAGTCAGGCTTCCCTTGGTTGATTTCTGGAAATGGGGAGAAGTGAGCCCTGGCTTATCTGAGTGACCCGGAAAGCAAGGACTGTGTAATATAGGCTTGTTCTGGGGCTCTTTATCCTGTCTTAGATGTTACTTTCCTCAAGAAAAGTGTCCTAGAAAGTTCTTTTAGTTTACTGAGGTCCACATTCACATTTCTTCTGCTTACCCCAATGAATTTAGGCTTCCGTAGAGGAAACATCGGATTATGACCTCAGCAGCTACTACACAGACTACTCTTCCTTTCCAGAGAGTAAGTGCCTGAGAATGGGAAGAGCTGATTCTGTGCTAGCCAGGATAGCTGACTTTCTGGGGAGGGGGGACAGGGGTTGGGTGTGTGTGTGACCACAGCCCTTGTGCTTTGGAGAGGTCCTAAAGAGAGCCAGTCTTTTCTAAATGCCTCTTGTCATAGTTATTTGGGAGAAATCAGCCATGCAATTAATGGTCGGGTCTTCTTTTAGGCCCTGTTCTATATGAGCCGGTTTACGAAGACATTGGTGACGTGGATGAGACTATGGTGGGAATGATGACTTCCAGCCAAAACACTAGCCCCAGGAGTGTGTCTGGAAGTATGGACAAAGGCAGCTGGAACCCTGACCTCAAACTGCTGAGGATTCTTCAGGCCCATGTTGAGGAAGATGAGGAGAACCATCTTTCTAGGGCACAGAGTGAGGCATCTCTGGATGCTTAGGCTGGAGACGTCACATGGGGCAGCCTTAGCTGGAACAGTTCTTGGTATTTTGAGGACAACAACCTTGGACGTAGGATAGAGAAGAGACTTGTTCTCTGGATTCCTTCAGCAGGACCAGGACTCAGAGACCCTGCTTTCTTCATTTGCTTCTTACCTCCAAAATGAGTGAGAAAAAAGCCCTAAACCTGCTCAATATGGGAAATTTTTCCAGGGCAGAGTATTTCCACGATTAAACACAATCCCTTCTATCGAAAGACTTGTGCTCTATTTCCAGGAAGGGAGGAGGTAGTGCTTCCTTGTGTCTGTTTTCTGGGTCCCCTTTATTTCTCTTCTGAAATCTTTGTAGTGATGGGAAGCTGGATTCAGCTATGGGAAGGAACCTCTATAATATCCCTAAATGCTCCTCTCCTTCCCTGGAGATGGCTTCATTTGGTGATGGGGCCTGCGCCGTTATCAGGTGGTGGTCACTGTATGGTACTCCCTCCTTAAAGTTTATCTTATCTACAGATAGTTCAGTGTGGATCTCTAAAAGAAAAGTGTGAAACATCTAAAAATTATCTCATTCCACAGAATTCATATTGATTGCTTGAGTCCACATATCCAAGCATATTCAAATTTCCATGTCTTACTAAGTTTTTTAACAGTTGACATATTCATATTAGAATTCAAACAAGCTCCATAAGTTGCATTTTCTCACTATGCTCTAGTCTCTTTTAATTTGTGCACCCTCCTCCCTTTTCTTTCTCTTTTCCTAGAATTTATTCCAACTCAGAAGAGCTTGCTTTCTAGTTTCTAAGAAATCTAGTCTTCAGGGAAATTTCAATGTTTTACAAAGACCCAGAATTCCAAAGTCTCAGGAGACTTCTAACTTGGTTTTTGGATGGATTTTTTTCCATTGTGTTTAGTCCTTAAAAAAACCTTTACTATTAAAAAACCTCCTGAAATATTTTAACCTGTAAAATTTGAAAATTGTATAAAAATACAATACAATACAATACAATACAATATAATATAGCAAAACTCTAAGTTCCCACTACCTGGGATATTGTTAAGAAAGGCCCTTGGTTGGGTTGAACCACATACTTTAGAAAGACCTACTGTTGTTTTGTTTTGTTTTTCTAGCTAATGTTATTTCTCATGGAAGGAGAAGTCTATAAGGTCAATGACAAGCATACCTTCTTTTAAAATGTAATTCTTAAAATTCTTAGAGAACTTCATAATGCATACCATGTATTTTAGTCATATTAACCCCTCCATCCCCCAAGCATACCTTTTTGAAGTCTCGTTTCTTTTGTATTTGACCACTGGTGTCTGGAACCCTAGAATTCGCTGTCTAAATGGTCTCATGCTTGCTTCCATGGCCTCTGCAAGGCGCTTTTCTGAGCCCACCATCTATGTGTGTACTGCTGGGTTTGAGGTGGCTAAGAGAGGCTGGTTAGAGGGCATGCAGCCAGAGCTTGGGCATGGGGATTGGGGCATCTGCAGGTGTCACCAGTCAGAATGGGAGCTAGAGACGTGAAGGACGGACCCCGCATGGACTTAGGCTGGTTCTTCTATTGCACTGGATGACAGAGGTGGCATCTCAGGAAGTGGGAGGCTTGACTGAGGATGGACTTTTAGTTCATGAGAATAGACTGGAGTCTTAGTTGCTTTTCTATTGTTGTGATAAGACACAATGACCAAGGCAATTTATAAAACGAAGTGTTTAATTTGCTCTCACAGTTTCAGGGGCTTAGAGTCCATGATGATGGATCAAAGTCACGGCAGAAAGAACCACTATGAGCTTATATCTTGATCTGGGAGTATGAGGCAGAGAGGGAGAAAGCACTGGGCATCGTGCAAGTCCTTGGAAGCCTCGAAGCCAGTCCCCAGTGACACACCTCCTCCATCCAGGCCATACCTCCTAATCATTCCCAAACAGTTCCACCAACTGAGGACCAAATATTCAGATGTATGGGCCCATGGGGCCATTCTCAGTCAAACACCACAACTGATCAAGTAGGAGGGGAGTATGTGGTATCTTGACTTATAATTCTTACATGCTCAAACAAACTTAGTAGAACGGGTTTTGTACTCTTCTCCTGGATCCTGAGGTAGTTAGGATTGCGGGCAGGTGAGATGGCTCGGTGTTGAAAGTACTCGCAGTGCAAGACTGAAGACCCACACTCGTTCCTCCAGTCCCACAGTGGAAGGACAGAACTGACTTCTGAAGGTTGTCCTTTGGCTTCCCTGTGTATGACATGGCTCATACCTGCCTGCACTCATACCTACAAACCACAAATACACAATAAATTAAATAAAATTTAAGAAAAAGTTGGGTAATGCTGTGGGATGTTCTGTATGCTGTGAATATGTGTTGCTCTGATCGGTTGATAAGTAAAGCTGTTTGGCCAATGGTGAGGCAGAACAAGGTTAGGCGGGACATTCTAACTAGAGAGAGAGGAAGGAGAAGGACAGAGCAGAGGACGCTGCTAGCCACTGCCAGAAGAAGCAAGGTGTAAAGGTACCGGTAAGCTGCTATGGAACGTCATTCTGTATGCTGTGAATGTGTATTGCTCTGATTGGTTGATAAATAAAACGCTGATTGACCAGTAGCCAGACAGGAAGTATAGGTGGGATAAGCAGACAAGGAGAATTCTGGGAAGAGGAAGGCTGAGTCAGAGATACCAGCTTGGCTGTCCAGGGAGAAGCATGTAATGGCACACAGGTAAAGCCACAGAACACGTGGCGACATATAGATTAACAGAAATGGGCTGAGTTTAAGTGTAAGAGCTAGCCAGTAGGAAGCCTGAGCTAATGGCCGAGCAGTTTTAATTAATGTAAGCCTCTGTGTGTTTAATTGGGTCTGAGCGGCTGCGGACTGGGCGGGACACAGGAAAACTTTCAGCTACAGGGTAAGATTGTGCATGTCTTGTGCAGACAGCCTCAACTGCTGTGAAGTCATGAGCTGTCTGACATAGGAGCTGGGAACTGAACTGGAGTCTTCCCCAAGAGCAGTATGCACCCTTAACCACTGAGCCATCTCGCCAGCCCCTTAGTGTCCTTTGTCTAACTATACCGTCTAGTATAGTGTTGACGGAGTGGTGAAAACAGACATCCTTGTCTTACTATTGATCTTAGGAGAAAAAAGATACTTTTACCACAAAGTATGTTGTTAGCTGTGGGTCTTTTAATAGAAGTCTTTATTAGATTATTTTTTCTACTACCCTTAACTTGTTGAGAATTGTTTTGTTCTTTAACTGTGAAAAGATATTGGAGTTTGTAATTTTGTTGTTTTTCTATTGTAAGGAGTATATATTTTTGTTTTTTTTATTCTATTAATATAGTATAGATTTTTTTTTTGGCTGTTAAACCAACCTGCATTCCTGGGATAATGCCACTTGACTGTGGTGTATGGCTATTTTTATATGTCTTTGGATTCAATTTGCTAGCTTATTTTTAAGATAGGATCTCACTGTGTACTTGGGTTGGTGTATCAATTATTATGTAGCTGAGGCTGGTCTCAAACTTACACTCCTCCTGCCTCTGCCTCCTGAGCAGCTGGATTACAGGCTTCAGCCACCATGCTCTCTAGCCCTAATGGCTGTAACTTGGTTGTGATGTCCCTAGTTTGGGTATTAAAGACTCATAAGTTGGGAAGTTTATGTATTTATTTGTTGATATTCTTTGTCTTTTTGGGAGAGTTGGTGAAATATTTAATTCTTTAACTTTTGGTAGAATGTGCCCATGAAGCAATATGGGCTAGGCTTTTCTTTTGGGGTAGTTTTTTTGTTTTTTAATTATAAACTCAACCCATTGTTATAAGTCTTTAGAATACCTATTTATTTATTTTTTATTTATATTTTATGTGTTTGGGAGTTTTATCTGCGTGTATGTCTGTGCACTACGTGCATGCCTGGTGCCTTTGGAGGCCCCAGAACTGGAGTTCCAGATAGTTGTGAGCTGCCATGTGGGTGTTGGGAATTGAACCCAGGTCCTCTGAAAGAGCAGCCAGTGCTCTTAACTGCCTAGCCATCATTCCAGCTCTGTTTCTTCTTTAGTCTGTTTTTGTAGTTTCTAAATATTTGTCGCTATTTCATCTAAACTATCATTTCTTAGCATACTGTTATATGTTATTTCTTTGTAATCACTTTTTGTGTGTGTGTGTGGGTTCAAGACAGGATTTCTTTGTGTAGCCCTGCCTGTCCTAGAACTCACTGTGTAGACAAGGCTGGTCTGAACTCACAGAAATCCACATGCCTCTGCCTCCCAAGTGTGGGGATTAAAGGCATTCGCCACCACTGCCAGGATGTATATATATGTTATTTCTTATGATCCCTTTTATTTCTGAAGGTTGGCAGTAATGTGTCCCCGTTCTTCCTATGCCTGGCTCTCTTTCCGTAGCCTAGCCTGGCTCTTAACTTACTGTGAGCTGAAGATGACTTTGAAGTCCTGATCCTCTGCCTCTCCCTCCTGAGAGCTCCGAGTATAGTCATTTGCTTCCTGGCTCGTGTCCCCTATCATTCCTGATTAGTAGAATCAGAACTAAGTCTTCCTTTTTTCTTTTGTTTATTTGTTTGTTTTGTTGATTAGCTAATGATCTGTCAGCATTATTTAAATTTTCGAAGAGCAAACTTTGGTTTTCTTTGTTTATTCCATTAAAAACATTCTCTATGGTTTCCAACCTTCTTGTTCCTGTTTCCTTTGTTCTGTTTGCTTTGGCTGTTTGTTCTTTCTCCAGTGTCTTAAGGTAGAAGGCAGGTTAGTTTTAGTACTTATTTGTTTGCTTGTTTTTGTAGTAGTGGGGATTGGATCTAGAGCTACACATACTAGGCAAAAGCTTCCACTGACCTATGTATCTCCACCTCTCTCTTTACCTCTTGAATGTGGGTCTCTTTTTTTTTTCACCTTAAAAACTCTATTTGGTTACAATTCTCTCTCTCTCTCTCTCTCTCTCTCTCTCTCTGTTTTTTTCAAGACAGGGTTTCTCTGTGTAGCAGTCTTGGCTGTCCTGGACTTGATCTTGTAGACCAGGCTGGCCTCAAACTCAGAGATCTGCCTCCCTCTGCCTCCTGAGTGCTTGGATTAAAGGTGTGCACCTCCACTGCCCGACCTACAATTCCCTTAGACATTTCTAAATAATTTTCATCCTAGATTCTATTTCATTTTTAAAACATAACATTTTTATTGATTATTTGGGAATTGCACATCATGCACCCTGGTCATGCTCACTTCCCAGTCCTCGAGTGTCTGTTCCCCTTCCCCACAAAAAGAAAAAGAAGAAAGAAAGAAAAAAAAGAGACAAGTCCATTTTATGTTGTCATTAGACTCACTGGAGCATGTTCAGACTCCCAGTGGTTAGCCCCCTAAGGAAAGCTGAGTCCTTCTCCATCTGCACCCCCTCTAGAAGCCATCAGTTGTGGAGAGCTACACTTCAGTATCCCTGTGACAATTTTTTTTTTTTAAAGATTTATTTATTTATTATGTATACAGTATTCTGTCTGCATGTATACCTGCAGGCCAGAAGAGGGTGCCAGATCTCATTACAGATGGTTGTGAGCCACCATGTGGTTTCTGGGAATTGAACTCAGGACCTCTGGAAGAACAGTCAGTGTTCTTAACCGCTGAGCCATCTCTCCAGCCTCCCTGTGACAATTTTTAAAAGTAATCTTCAGTGGCTTCTTTTTTAGGCTGTTGCTTTTCAGGTGGGTGGGCGGGGGGCGGGCGGGCGGGTGGGGGTTGTCACAGAAGCCTTCTGTGTGTCTCGTTCTCAACTGTGCATCTGCAGTCATCAATACCACTGCAAGAGGAGCTTGCTTGCCCTTTGCAGTCAGTGGGAGTGTGGGTCCTGGGCTTCTACGTGGTTTCTGGCAACAGCATGGACCACAAACATCTGTATGCACAAACATCAGCACTTGCCAGGGACCTCTGCTTGATCTCTGGTGGTAGTTCAGCCTGAGAACATCAACATGGCCCTGGGCCAAAACACGGGCCACTGACCAGCATGGACTCAGGAAGAAGTACGGACCACAGAGGTCTTCAGGAGGTTCAATCCTGTGAATGAACCACTCTTCATCTTGAATATCCTGTTACTGTTCAGAGCCAGGGAGATCGTGGGGCTGGGGCCTCTTGTTCCAGGACGGAGTCTGCCCAGGCTTCAGGTGCTGCATGCCACCCTGCCGACCCTTCTGGGTAACGAGCTGTTCGTCCATCAGCTGCAGCCTTCTCTCGCCCCGTCACAGCTGTCTCCAGTTCCAACTCACAGGCACTGCCCTGCTCCTCCATTTCCCCTGCCTCTTCATCGTATATTTGTTCATTGTAGAGGTATTAGAAGCAGCAATGTGTCACAATATACCCTTCTGCCCAAAAGCTTTACATGCAAATGTTCGTTGCAATGAGTCATTGATCTGCTTCAAGGTCTTTGGCTTCTGCCACACCATCCTCACTGGACCCTCCCTGAGATTCCTCTCGGATATCCTGCTGTTGCCCAGAGTTATGGAGATCCTGTGACTCTGGTACCGCATAGTCCAGCATGCAGTCATGGACCAGCACCTTTCCATGCTCCCGCAGCTCATAAATGGAGTAGATGATGTTTGTAGTGGACCAACTCAAAGCCCTGGATCTGGGCATGGCTGGTAGCTGAGCTGGTTAGCTGGGGCCTCAGCAGGATTGGCGAGGGGCGGGGCCCAGGCCTCATTTGTTGAGAGAGGGTCTCATTAAGTTTCCCATGTTGGAGCTGGGCAGTGGTGACATAGAACTTTTTTTGTTTGTTTGTTTTGTTTTTCGAGACAGGGCTTCTCTGTGTAGTTTTGGTGCCCGTCCTGGATCTCATTCTGTAGACTAGGCTGGCCTCGAACTCACAGAGATCCACCTGGCTCTGCCTCCCAGCTTGTGCTGGGATTAAAGGTGTGCACCACTGCCGCATAGACCTTTTATCCCCTCCACACTTGTGAGGCAGAGGTGGGTGATCTCTGAGTTCAAGGTCAGCCTGGTCTACAGAGTGAGTTCCAGAACAGCCAGGGATTCACAGAGAAACTCTGTCTCAAAAAAAACCAAACCGGACTAAACAAAAACAAAAAACCAAAAATCAAAAAACAAACAAACAAAAAACTGTAGTGGGTAGCCATTCCAGCTTTGATATGGAAGTTCCACCCCCACCCCTCCCCACCCCCCCACCCCCTGCCAGGCTTAGGTAACTGTCACGACTACAAGGCGGGGCGGAGGGAGGACCCTGAAGACCTGAGATCCGGATGTGCCGGCTCTCTTGGTTCCTGGACCCTGGACGCTGGAGGTAGACCCAGCAGAGTTCTCCAGAGAACATCGCCAGACTGCACCACACCTTTCCCAGACCCTGTTACTTATCCCTTCACTTGTAAGTTACCCCACAAAATAAACCTCCCTTTTAACTACATGGAGTGGCCTTAATAATTTCACCAATAAAAAACCTGAAACACAAAACCAAACCAAACCAACAACAACAACAACAAAAACCCAAACAACAACAAAACCAAACCAAACAAAAATTTTCCCATGTTGGCCTAGAACTCATATTCTTGTAGCCAAGGCTGGTGGTGAACCTTCAATCCCATGGGTAGCTTCTTGGTAGCTGGGATTATAGCCACCTGGCCTGGTGGGCTTCTTTTTAACTATAGGTACAGGGCTATAAGTTTCTAAGTACTATTTTAGCAATAACCTATACATTTTTATAGATCTTAAATTTCATTGATCTTAAGCATATTGCTATTTTTCTGATGATTTCTCTTACTTCTCAGTCATTTAAGGGTACATGTTATTTGATTTCTACATATTTGTGACTTTCCCAGATTTTCATTTTCCACCTATATATGCATGTATTTGGGGATGTTTCTGAGCCCAGACTTTGGTGGTGGGGACAGGGACGGTGCTGTGTTCTCTGTGTTTGGTGGTGGGGACGGTGCTGTGTTCTCTGTGTTTGGTGGTGGGGACAGGGACGGTGCTGTGTTCTCTGTGTTTGGTGGTGGTGGGGACGGTGCTGTGTTCTCTGTGTTTGGTGGTGGGGACGGTGCTGTGTTCTCTGTGTTTGGTGGTGGTGGGGACAGGGACGGTGCTGTGTTCTCTGTGTTTGGTGGTGGGGACAGGGACGGTGCTGTGTTCTCTGTGTTTGGTGGTGGTGGGGACGGTGCTGTGTTCTCTGTGTTTGGTGGTGGGGACAGGGACGGTGCTGTGTTCTCTGTGTTTGGTGGTGGGGACGGTGCTGTGTTCTCTGTGTTTGGTGGTGGGGACAGGGACGGTGCTGTGTTCTCTGTGTTTGGTGGTGGGGACGGTGCTGTGTTCTCTGTGTTTGGTGGTGGTGGGGACGGTGCTGTGTTCTCTGTGTTTGGTGGTGGGGACAGGGACGGTGCTGTGTTCTCTGTGTTTGGTGGTGGGGACAGGGACGGTGCTGTGTTCTCTGTGTTTGGTGGTGGTGAGGACGGTGCTGTGTTCTCTGTGTTTGGTGGTGGGGACGGTGCTGTGTTCTCTGTGTTTGGTGGTGGGGACAGGGACGGTGCTGTATTCTCTGTGTTTGGTGGTGGTGGGGACGGTGCTGTGTTCTCTGTGTTTGGTGGTGGGGACAGGGACGGTGCTGTGTTCTCTGTGTTTGGTGGTGGGGACAGGGACGGTGCTGTGTTCTCTGTGTTTGGTGGTGGTGGGGACAGTGCTGTGTTCTCTGTGTTTGGTGGTGGGGACAGGGACGGTGCTGTGTTCTCTGTGTTTGGTGGTGGGGACAGGGACGGTGCTGTGTTCTCTGTGTTTGGTGGTGGGGACAGGGACGGTGCTGTGTTCTCTGTGTTTGGTGGTGGTGGGGACGGTGCTGTGTTCTCTGTGTTTGGAGCAGAGCAATTGGGAGATATGATGGAACACACTAGTCCCAGGTCTTAAGACCTTGCCATGACAAGGTCACCCAGGGCCTCAGCACTCTTAGTGGTACCATGTCCAGAGTAGAGCCTACTTCCGTAATAGGGTCTGGGTGCAAGAAGGGAGTCCTCACTTAAATAAGCAAATGTACTAATCTGGAACTGGGTCTTGGAAGCAGGTCGTGGGGAGCTGACAGCTGGTCCCTCCTGGGAAATAGCCCTCTGACTTGTGCTGCAGGTGAGGCAGCCGTGAATTTGGGGTGCAGCAGACCAGAGTGCAGTTTCTGTCTCTCAAAAAATGCATCTTCTTGGTCACATATCATAAAACCTGAGAGTTTCAAGGTTTTTAAATTTTCTTTTTTTTCCCCCTCTCTCCCTCCCTTCATTTTTTTTTTTAAAGGAAATAGTGCTGGAGGGATGGCTCAGTGGTTAAGAGCATAGACTTCTTTTCCAAAGGAGCCAGGTTCAATTCCCAGCACCTACATGGTAGCTCACTACTGTGTGTAACTCTAGTTCCAGGGGATCCCACCCCCTCACACAGACATATACGCAGGCAAAGACTAATACACACAAACAAAAAATAAATAATTTTGAAAAAGGAAATAACTTTAAAAATACAATGTGTGTATTTGTGTGTGTGTGTGTGTGTGTGTGTGTGTGTGTGTGTGTGTGTGTGTGTACATGCACATGGCATGATACTCATGTATAGGTCAGAAAACATTTTGTGAGATTTGGTTCTCTCCTTCACCATGAGGGTCCCTGCGATCGAACTCCGGCTGTCAAACTTGGCAGCAAGTGCCTCTACCCACTG